ATTGGTCATGCGGACCACGAAAAATAGTGAATTTAAATCATAGTTTATTTATTTTTTAATTTATTGTATTTTTTCTTAAATATGATATATAATGCATTTATTTTTAGTCGTTCTGATTTCTTTAGGTTATTTATAATGGCAGAAAGGGGGGAAATTCAAAAAGGTGGGTTGAGATGGGAAGTTAGTGTCACGAGTGGGATTCGAACCCACGACCTTCAGCTGAATACTGCTTTAACCACATAAGTCAAGCTCAGAGGTTGGAGCAGCGGCGTATTGAGCAGAAGGTCGTGGGTTCGAATCCCGCTTGTGTCACTAGAATTTTTATTTCAACCAATGCCTTACATAAAGATTAATTAATGAAAAAAGTTATTTATAATATTGTGTTGCTTCACTTGTGTCCGTTCAGAAATATACTTTTTCATTCTGGTTAAGTTTTATATTGATTATTATATAAATTAAATGTTGTCTATGGTACAATTACTTTTATAATATTGCGTTGCATTTTCCATCTTTTTATTCAGTCCATTATCTCATCAGGGAACAATTTAACGACTGTGTTGAGTAGAGATGTACCCCTGTAATTCTTTTCTTTCTTTTGGGTCTCCCTTCTTATTTATTTGAAAAATAATGATCAGTCTAAACACTTTTGATACTTCTTCTCTTCATGATTAAAGAAATCCTGTAATAAAGAGATAATTTCGTCAGGTAGATTTGTGTATTTGTGTTTTTTGTGCTATACGGATAGAAAATCCGGATTCGCATAGTTAAATGGTAAATGGAATAAGAACAAGTTTCGCTTTCTTGGTTGAATTTTTTATTTTTACATCGGAGTCAAAAGAAAGGACTCGAAAGTAGATTTCAAAGTTGAGTGTGAAGTATATCAAAATTCGTATTCACTTGAGGATAGACTGGTTGGCTTCGAAACTGAAAACGATTTGGTCATCCATTCGTGGTCTTGTGCCTTGAGCTGTTGGAAAGTAGAAGGCTTCCATGTACCTAGTACTGTAAAAAGTCTTGACTTCAATGGCCGCGACTTGAATATCGAATAATTTGAACAGAATCATCCAAAACTTTCTTTCAAGGGGCTGGCGTTTGTTCATAGCTAAAGCATGTCTGTGGAGAACAACGACTGCTGCTGCAAAATAAAAAAACTTTCGTATCAATACTCATTTTTATCAGTTTTTATTCTTATTTATTCATTCATTTTTGTAATTATCAATTTTTCTCACTGTTTGGCACAATTTGTTAAGCCCGATCTAAAGACAATTTAAAAGTATTAAACAATAAACTTAATTTCAAAATTCCTTCAAGGAAGATGACATTCATTTTTAATTTGCCCGAAGGGAGTTTTTTTACATGGATGACAATGTCCAATTAAGACGATGTAAGAGATCTCGTGAAAACTTTACAAGTCCCTTAATCACTGTAACCCTTTTTCCATGTACTACTTTGTAATTAATCATTCTTTAAGCTCCTAGCTTTAATCATGGTGACCATTTTTCGGAAATAACAACAGAAAAATTAAGACTCAACAAAACGTCTAAAGAAGATCGGGTAAAAAGGACAATAAACCCTGTGGAACTTATTGCCTGAAACAATGATTGCAAAAAAAATAATATTTTATCAATTCAGCAGGTATTAAAAATAAACGATCGGTATTCTAGGACAGGTAGAAAATACCAAAAACACCAAAATTTGACACGTGCCATACGATAGTTTAAAATTAAGCATAGCTTCTTCACTCCAAATTGAATTCACAAATTCATTATGATTTCTTTCCCTAGTGCCGGCATGCAGAGAAAGGTTATTCAATGGATCCATCCTAATTGAAGGGTGCAATTCTTTGGTTCCGTACAGAGAGCGCGTAGGAATGCCACCCGATCTGAGTGCTTGAGCCCGGCAGCGAGTATTTGGTTACGCTGTTCTGTTTCTTGAAATAAGCGGGGTTGTTCCTTTGTAGATAGTAATAATAGTTGAGAGTGAATGTATTTATTAGCGTGAATGATAAGTGTCGATGGTAGAATATCAAGTACTTCATCACCCTAATTGAAGTAATAGTTTGTAAATAGGAGCGAATGTATTTAAGAATGCGAGTATGGATGGGTTTGGTACGGCATGTGTTGGATGCTCAATTGACCTAGCTGTTGATAACACCTGAACCCACCTCGGTGGGTGGACAGATAAGACTGAGGTCTTCTCCCGGACTGCCAACACCCGGGGTGGGTGATTCTTGAGTCTGCCGGCAGTTTATTGTAAATAAAGCTGGAATTGCCTGTGAACTATGAGAAGCGAATACTCAATTCGGCACATATTTGTTTGAATGTACGAATATGTGCGGATTTGAGTCTATAAATCCAAATCCTTCCTTAGTGGAATGCCATTGACATTCTCATCCCTAAATCTCACAAACAACCTAATCACATAACCTTCTATAGATTCTCAGCATTTTTCCTCTGATGTACAAAATCTTAGGAAATTTTTAAAACATTGTTAGTACCCAACCTAGATACACAAATTACTTATGGCCAATGTGTCTCATTTCCATCATTCCTTGATGCAGCGAGTTTCTGAGTTTTTGGCACCATTTCCTCCGTTCTAGGAAATAAAGACTATTGCTTCGTTGCGTTCTAAAATGTGGCCCATGCTTTTGCTAGTGTGACACCCAGGCATCGTTATAAACTTTAAAGCTTTCTACTCACCCCTTAGACTTTTTCCTGCTGACCTCTGCTTCAGAATAGGATATCGCAACGAGTACGTCGTTATTAGACAAATACAAGCCGGCGTACAAAAAGGTTGCGTTTTTGGTCTCATCCTGTAAACCAATCCACCTTCTGTCGTACCTATGCCACTAGGGAAGGTAAACGTCTGACCACCATCTTTCTTGTAGTGTACCTTACAAAACGCCTCCGTGTGCCTGAATTTTCCATAGTGAAGAGAAATCGACGCCTGGATATCAATCTAGACCAAGAGGAGCTATGCTCTAAGCTATGGTTTAAGGCGAGACTGGACCTAGCTGTAAAATAGTCTTAAACGGAGGCTTCAGGGAATCTGCCGACACCCCGTCGTAGTTAGATCCTCACTTGCGTAGACAACACATACAACTCGAGGTAGACTTACTTTACCAGGAAATATAACCAATAGAAAAACAATAACACATGGGTTCTGTAGCCTGAAGTAGTAACACTGCAGTGGACAAACTCACTTCAAGACATCTGGTCTATTAAAAACGAAAAACTCACGGCAGATGAGGGGATTAAAATCCGACTAGCAGAAGCTTCAATGAAAACCCTGGCCATCCTAGAAAAGATGGAATCTGTCAAGGCAAAAGCAATAATTCGTGACGAGTTTATAAGTCCCTAAGATCAATATTTAACGAAAGGTAGGATATGACAAAAGCGACCACTGGTCCAAACCCTGGACATGGGCCTACACGACATCCTATAGAGAAACATTGACTTTGGAGGAGGAGAAACATAAATTTCTAGACTTACAAATGAACCCCGAGAGTTTGATGTTCATGAGGTCATGATGCTGGCCTATGGAAAGATGCCACAAGAACGGCCCCAACAATGGATGTCAAATTCAGTAAGTGCTAATAAAAATTGTCCCCACATTGAGACCCTGGAAGGCGCTGTCCTCCAGATTTTTGTGGTCGAGATGAGATCTCGAAGCCGATGGTCTTATTTTCCCGACCAATATACAAATAAGTATACAAGGCGTTCGGCTACTCTTGTTACAAATTTCGCCAGTAGATTCTACATTAAAAATGGAACCAAAAAGTCCTAATTAACTAACGTCCGAATCTTAACAGTTTCGGAGTTATTTCATTTTTTCTGACTTTTTAAGATTTCACGACCTTGCTTCAAATAAACAATAACTCCAAAACGAAAAGGTTTTGGAAAAATCCGTTGATACCATTGAAAACTACGTTAAATGTCCAATAAGATGTGCTCAATAGTTTGCAAACGTTTGGTGAAATAAGCACTTAGTAGTCAGAACATTGAAAAATATTTATTTTTTAGTTGAAAACTTACTATGATGATTCTAAACTACTATTTCCAAACTTAGAGACCAGCAAATTTCAGAAAACGTACTCCATTTAATTTTCTTTTTAGTGGTGTAATGGTTTTTTTAATTACTTTTTTCAAACTTGAAAAAAATTGAAGGAAAGAAAAAAAAACCGTGGTTGAAGGATTGGTAAGATCGAAAGATTAAAAAAAATATAAAACGGATTTTTTAATGAATTTATTAAACGTTTTTTATTTTGATGTTTACAAGTAAAGTTTTTCCTTTCCTTCAACAATTTCTTCATCTTTGAAAAAAGTAATTAAAAAACCACTAAAAAGGATATTAAATGGAGTAAGTTTTATGAAATTTGCTGGTCTCTAGGTTTGGAAATAATAGTTTAGAATCACCATAGTAAGTTTTTCAACTAAAAATAAATATTTTTCAATGTTCTGACTACTTAAGTACTTATTTCACCGTTTACAAGTTTAGTATTGATCACATCTTATTGGAAATTTAACGTAGTTTTCAATGGTATCAACAGATTTGTACGGAACTTTTTAGTTTTGCAGTTATCATTGTTTATTTGAAAGTGATGAGTGTCATGTCAACACCTAAACTGTGGCCACTGACATCTCCTACAAGTTATTAATGTTGTTGCTTCTTAATTATTCAGAAATCGTGAGATGCCGTCTGGTGTGATGTAGGTTTCAGAAAAACATTTTCTTTATCGTGCCAACGTTTCGATCTATATCGAGATCATCAGGGTTCAAAGTGTTTGTCTTCTGTGTAATTGTGCCATTCTTGCGTGTCGTGTTGAGAGTGCCCATTATTGCTACATGTTATTAAAAATAAATAAATATCATATTTTTACTTTTATTGCTGGAAGGGTACAAAAATTAAAAAAAATACATATATATAATTTAAAAATCTTTATTAAAATGGTTAGTATGAAAAATATATTGAATATTAATTAATACTATAAAGAGAAAACATATGGTGTAAAACAAAAATTTATTGACAACCCATTACAATAATTTTATGGTGAACTTGTTAGACATGGATAAAACACCTTCCTCTTGAAGTTCTTTAAGAGCATCATCCAACATTTCTCTAGTAACAACCTGAAACAAATTTTTGTAATTTAATTTATAAAATAGTTGCACCGATAGTGCATGTAATAAAAAGAGAGAGAAAAAAAATACAATTTGTGACGAATCTCTAAGTTCTTTGTACAACTTCTGGTAAGCAATTGTAGAGCCTTTAGCCTTGTTTTTGAAGTAATTTTGTAACGAGTCAATTATTTCTTGTTTTTTCTTACGTGCGGCAACACTTAAACCAGTGGTTAAAATAGTCACGTCGATTTTGCCTGAGAGGGGATCCGTTGCAGACTGTTTCAGTGCTTCCCTGTATAATCTATACACAAAAAAATAATCTTTCTTAAAATTTGGAATAAGACAAAATTGAAATTTACCTTTTTGCTTCTTCAACGTCAGACACTTCCACGGTGTGTGACAATCTCATTTTTGCATGTGCTTCGGACAAACGAATAAGCGATTCTAATTGCCTAGGGTAAGCGCTGATTTGCCCTCTGCCGCTACCGACTTTTCTCATTTCAACGTAAGAGCTGACTAATAAATTTCTAGCTGCTTCTGATAAAGTTGGGTGAATGTTTTCTCTCGCATAGACGATATAATCTCGTAGTACACTCACGTCCTAGTTAATAAATTTGTTTTATTGATAGAATACAACGATTAGTATTTCCAATATTATTACCAAGAATTCATCGTCGACTATGCTTTGCGCTTTGTGGTACAGAGAGACTAAATGCCTCGCAAGTTTTCGGTCATACAGTTCACTCTGTGGATCCAGCATTAGAAAAATAAGATCAAACCTAAAATACATAATCGTTACTTGGTGGCTCTTGATGAATTGGTTCTGAGGGTGTGGGATCACCAATTTTAACGCAACTTCCAAGCATTTTTACCAATGGGCTCTTTTTGAGAAAAAAATTAGCCTTTTTAAGGGAAGCAATTCACCCATCCAAAAAAGAGCATAAGGTACCTTTTTCTCGGCAACCAATTGTCCAATAGACTTATACCAAAAATTATATTTTTAAATTTCTAAATAACAATTTATACTCATTTAATTAAATTTACTTTATGCTTATAATTTGTATTAATATTTTAATTTATACAATATATGTACGTATATATAAATAAATAAATTCAATCATGAACACTCTGGATTAAGGTATGGTCTTGAAGAAGAAAGCAAATTCAGTTCACCATTATTTTTTTCAGCTTTTCATATTATTTTCTTATCACAGATTTAAAATATTAAATTATATTACAATTAATTAAGGTTTTTAGTTAAGATAAAAAAGTCAATGGCACGAGCGGGATTTGAACCCACGATCTTCGACTAGATACGCCGCTACTCTACCACTTGAGCTATTGTGACCTCGATCCACTCGGACACCAACCCCCACCTTTTGAGTTTTCCCTCCTTTTTGCCATTTTTCAAATGTCGTGTAATCGGGTTGGATTCTCAACTACAAATGAAACGGCCACGGAGAGCTTTAGTGAAGTATACTTCATTTAAATTCATTAAATTCACTAATTTCGTGGTCCACTTGACCAATTAATATATTACAATTAATTAAGGTTTTTAGTTGAGATAAAAAATGGCAAAAAGGAGGGAAAATTCAAAAGGTGGGTTTGAGATGGGAAGTTAGTGTCTGAGTGGATCGAAGTCACGACAGCTCAAGTGGTAGAGTAGTGGCGTATCAAGCCAAAGATCGTGGGTTCGAATCCCGCTCGTGCCATTGACTTTTTTTATCTCAACCAAAAACCTTAATTAATTGTAATATATTAATTGGTCAAGCGGACCACGAAATTAATGAATTAAATTATATAATAATCTTGAAATACATATACAACAAAGGCAGAAAATTTTATTTTAAAACCTAAGTAAATTAATTTGGGAAAAAAATTCTCAGCTCCTAAGGCTTATTGATAAAACAAGAACACTTGGACACTTGTCTAACATGTTTCTTCCTATTATCACTTTAAAAAAGTCAATAAATCATCTATGCCCTTAGCCATCTCGTAAATCAAACATAAAAGCATAAATGATAGTTTAGGAAACGTTTAAGGTACCTGGAAAGAAGAGTATGGGGAAGCTTGATATTATCAATAATTGTCCGATTCTTGTTCCATTCAGAGCCTACAGGATTTGCAGCAGCAAGGATTGCAGTTCGTGCTGTAAGTTGGCAAATAATTCCAGCTTTGGCAATACTCAGCGTTTGCTGTTCCATGACCTATTATTATGTTTTTTATTAAAAACAAGAAAAGAAAATAGATTTTTTAATTTAGTTGCTTTACCTCGTGTAAAACACTTCTAGTCGTATCATTCATTTTATCAAACTCATCAATACAACAAACTCCATTATCTGCCATAACTAAAGCTCCTCTGCAATATTAAACCTTTTAGTTTTATACATATATGAAAATATTTACCAAAAAAATTACGTTTGCAAAACAAGCTGACGAGATTCAGGATCTTTTGATACGTATGCAGTTAGGCCCACAGCGGAAGAACCCTTCCCACTTGTGTACTGTGATTTTGGTACTAAATTGTAAACATAACTCAATAATTGAGATTTACTCGTACCAGGATCACCACAGAGTAACACATTAATCTCTGACCTTAAATCATATTTGATATTAAAATATAAAAAATTAAAATGTAAAAAAAATTAAAATCACCTGAATGAAGAACGACCCATAATATTAAAAGTCTTCCTCGTGCCACCAAACAATTGCAAAAGAATGCCCTTTTTTACATCTTCATTTTCAAATATTGAAGGGGCAATAGAGTGTGCCAATCTTTCATATAAATCAGCCCTTTGACTTAAGCCTATCATTGCGTCAATTCGCCCGGGTGGTAATTTACGGGGTCTTTAAGAAAAAAAAATTAAATTGTTATATTCCAGAATTAAGATTATTTAGGTAATTATACAGATGCATGCACACACACGCACACAGAATGGGCCCTGATGTACAGCAAACTTTACTTGTGCCAGGAGAGGAAAAAATAAAAACTTTTTTTTAACGATATCTACATCATACGCTATATTTTTTATAAGGTGGACCCTCCCTATATATGATCAATTATATTGTACAATATAACAAATTTTGCAATATTTTTGCGAGTTTAGGATTAGTATTGGGTTTGCTCAATGATTGAACAAACGTTTGAGCGAGTTTAATTTATATTGCACCATATTTTTTCATTTTACCATGGAAGGTTAATATTGCACAATATTTTCAAGAGTTTAGGGTTAATATTGATGTTTGCTCAATGACTGGACAAAAGTTTAATTTTATTACACCATGTAAGGTTAATATTTAGCAATATTTTTGAAAGTTTAGGGTTAGTATTGAAGTTTACTAAATGGTGGAACAAAAGGTTTAGCAATTTAATTTTTATCTTGGCATATATTTTTATTGTTTAATTTTTACTGCACCATGTAGAGTTAATATTGCGCAATATTTTTGAAAGTTTAGGGTTAGCATTGAAATTTACTCAATGATTGAACAAAAGTTTGAGCAAGTTTAAAGCGGCCCATAGATGGTAAATATTATTGTACATATAGATTGCACAATAATTTGACGGTTGCCCCTTAACGTTCAATAATATTGTACAAAATTTTGTTTGCGCAATGAACTTGAATAGTTTGAAGGCGATATTGAAATTTGTGCAATATTTTGAGCACTTGTTTATACTTCACAAACAATTGTTGATATTGCGCAATAATGCCAACAGACGGTGCAATATTTTCCAGGTAGTACAATATATTTTCAACTTTTCGTCAATCATGCAATGTATTGCACAAACTTTCAATATCGTCTACACACGATCAATTAAATTGCACAACCCAAAATATTGTGCAGTAATACTGATCGCCTATGGGCCGCTTAAGTTTTATTGTTCCATATTTTTTTCATTGCACCATGTAGGGTTAATATTGTGCAATATTTTTGACAGTTTAGGGTTAGTGTTGATGACTGGACAAAAGTGTGATCAAGTTTAATTTTTATTGCACCATGTAGTGCACCATATTGCACAATATTTTTGAAAGTTTAGGGTTAGAATTGAAGTTTACTCAATGATTGAACAAAAGTTTACTTTTTCTTGTTCCATATTTTTTCATTGCACCATGTAAGGTTAATATTGCGCAATATTTTTTGACAGTTTAGGGTTAGTGTTGTTTGCTCAATGACTGGAAAAAGTTTGATCAAGTTTAATTTTTATCGCACCACGTAGGGTTAATATTGTGCAATATTTTTGACAGTTTAGGGTTAGTATTGAGGTTTGCTAAATGATAGAACAAAAGGTTTAGCGATTTAATTTTTATCTTGGCATTTTTTTTCATTGCACCCTGTAGGGTTAATATTGTGCAATATTTTCGACAGTTTAGGGTTAGTGTTGTTTGCTCAATGAATGGACAAAAGTTTGATCAAGGTTAGTTTTTATTGCACCATGTAGGGTTAATATTGTGCAATATTTTTGACAGTTTAGGGTTAGTATTGAAGTTTGCTAAATGATAGAACAAAAGGTTTAGCGATTTAATTTTTATCTTGGCATATTTTTTCATTGCACCATGTAGGGTTAATATTGTGCAATATTTTCGACAGTTTAGGGTTAGTGTTGCTTGCTCACTGACTGGACAAAAGTTTGATCAAGTTTAATTTTTATTGCACCATGTAGGGTTAATATTGCACAATATTTTTAAGTCTTACACGATAGCTGTAGCCAAATCTTGGTCTGATATTTGTGACAATAAGTCTTGCTCACACCAAAACATTGATGCTTATGGGCAATAAATATAACTTTGTGATAAACTGGGATCAAGATGTCATTCAATACTATTGGACAATAAAAGTATTGTGCAATGTTATATTGTAGGTGTAGGGTCGAGACTCATGTTATGTGTGCACTCACATATAAGTTGTAATTATGTAACATTTTTACTAACTTGTCACCCTGTTCTAAAAGTCGCTTTGAATCGACTTTATGGAAGTGCAATACATCGATGTGAGTTTTATACAAGGCTTTGGTAGTGCGCATCCTTGGATTTTCTCTTATTTGCACAGATCTGAAAATCCCTGTAACACTCACTCTCTGACCAGCTTGAACAAAATCTACCAAACTGTTATGGACATGTAATGTAACAGTGTGAGGTGTGTGCCCAGCAGGCATATCATCTAGAAAAAATAATAATCAATTAAGGAATATTAATCAATCAGATCATATTGTGCTTATAATCCAGTACCAGGCGATTCTTGGAGACGGACTATTTGTTTGTCAGTAAAAGAGCACCGGTTGTGTATTAATGAAAATGAAAAAGGCGAGTTGCAGTGGACGCATAAAGTTGGCTCATTTATCTGCCCTCTATCAATTTCAACAGTTGTCGTATAGCCACAGACGCTACATTTGAAAAAAGCCTCACGCATGTCAGGAATAATATCACTTGTTCTTATCACCATCCCACTAATTGTAATCAAGCTGTCAATATCTAAAATAAAACAAATTAATAGATATCATGATCATTATTTTTTTTTAAATTACCTTCTGGGTTCAAGTTCCTCATGTTTCTTGTCTTTTCAGCATTGAACGGGCGTATTTGAATCGGGTGGTGCAACACTGCATCAGGGTGCCTAGAGAAGTATAGCTCATTTGCTGCCATATCAAGAGCCGGAATGACTTCTTGAGGGTAGCAAATCAATTGCCGATAGAGTTCCATGTTATATTGTTCCAAATGGGCACAATTAACATTCAGAAAAGGTTCTTCCAATTCTTGAATCTGTCATCGAAGTAACAAAATTATTTTTAATTTTATAAAATATCATTATCAGTACATAATCAGTCTCAATTGTGCAGGCTTTTTTTTTTTTTTTTTTTTTTTTAATATATAATTATTTAAAGGTGGATAAACATGAACAGTTTATTTTTCACTCAGATTCGAATTCAGGAATGATGGATCAGCATCCTTCGCTGATGTAAATTACCCTGTTATACACATAATGATGAGAAAGGGTGTATCGGGTAATCAAATTATAAACTTTTATTGGTCCAAGTATGTTAGATAAAGATTAACTAAGAAATGCATAATCATTCTAATTCTAATTCCCCCCCCTTTTTTTTCTTCCATAAATATTTTTATTGATTTTTAGCAAACATGCTTTAGCCATGATCTAACCGCCCGAAAATATGAAAAATTGACCCCCTTAATTGATGCTGGAACAACAAACGAACGATCCTGAACATTCCATGAACGCTGTTTGAATGATCCGTGAACAACAAACGAATACTCTTTGAACGGTTTGAAATTTTTGATGTTATTTAGCACTATATGAACTTTCCTTGATCAAAGCTTCATTAATGTGTTAATTGTATGAAGAATTTAAATTCACTAATTTCGTGGTCTGCTTGACCAATTAAATCATTACAATTAATTAAGGTTTTTAGTTGAGATGAAAAAAAAATTAATGGCACGAGCGGGATTCGAACCCACGATCTTCAGCTAGATCCGCCGCTGCTCTACCACTTGAGCTATCGTGACCTCAATCCACTCGGACATCAACTCCCCATCTCAACCCCACCTTATGAGTTTTCCCTCCTTTTTGCCATTTTTCAAATGTCGTGTAATCGGTTTGGATTCTCGACGACAATTGAAATGGCCATGGAGAGCTTTAGTGAAGTGTACTTCATATTAATTCTTTAAATTCACTAATTTTGTGGTCCACTTGACCAATTAAATCATTACAATTAATTAAGGTTTTTAGTTGAGATGAAAAAAAGTTAATGGCACGGCACGAGCGGGATTCGAACCCACGACCTTCGGCTAGATACGCCGCTGCTCTACCACTTGAGCTATCGTGACCTCAATCCACTCGGACATCAACTTCCTATCTCAACCCCACCTTATGAGTTTTCCCTCCTTTTTGCCACTTTTGGAGTGGATCGAGGTCACGATAGCTCAAGTGGTAGAGCAGCGGCATATCTAGCCGAAGATCGTGGGTTCGAATCCCGCTCGTGCCATTAACTTTTTTTCATCTCAACTAAAAACCTTAATTAAGTGTATGAGGAATGTCAAATAATAATTTCTGTATTCGGAAAACCAGAAATCAGACAATCAAGAATCAAAAATTCAGTAGCCAGCAGGCTAAAGCAAGTTCATGGTTCTATAATTTAATTTATAGGATCTTAGTAGTCCAAGGGCCATGCCAACTAGAGTTAGGGTTTATTTCTTTTATTACTTATAGGTGTGTTGTGTTTATTTTCAACTTGTTTAATATAATTTGTATATTTTTTATTCTATTTTCTTTTCTTAATTGAATGAAATCAAACCTTTTTGTTTATTTCATTGCCAGGACAAACTATAATATTTAAAGGGTTAATTATTGCCAGGAAAATTGAATGGCAAACAAATTACATTATTTTTTTTTAATTTATTTTTTTTAATCATAACCAGGATTAAACTTCTCCACTGAGATTCAGGCACCCATTTCAGGTCTGTTGTCATGGAACCTGACAAATTGGTGTCCGAATATGGACTTTTACTTTGCACTATCACACCACAGGCACTGTAAATGGGTCCGTAGGATTGAAAGCAATGCAGAAAACTAAGGAAATCATTTTCATCATTACACAAATGGTAAGAGGTTCATAGATACAAAAAGAGGGAAAACCCCTGATTGCACCCTGGTTAATTGGACTGAATGTGGGATCTACAGTATATATGAATATACTAACTTAATACATGTATGTATTTAGTAATCATAATTTACTGTATTAATTAGTTTAATTAATTATTAAATTCACTAATTTCGTGGTCTGCTTGACCAATTAATATTACAATTTATTAAGGTTTTTAGTTGAGATAAACAAGTCAATGGCACGAGCGGTATTCGAACCCTACGAGCTTCGGCTAGATACGCCGCTGCTCTACCACTTGAGCTATCGTGACCTCAATCCACTCGGACACCAACTTCCTATCTCAACCCTATCTTTTGAGTTTTCCCTCCTTTTTGCCATGGTTTGAAGATCGTGGGTTCGAATCCCGCTCGTGCCATTGACTTTTTTATCTCAACTAAAAACCTTAATTAATTAATTATAATTTTTATCTAAGGTCTTGGTTGAGATGAAAAAATTAAAAATTAAAAAAATGAAGCCCTAGGCTATTGGGTTCGAATCCTGCTCATGACACTAGCTTTTTCATCTCAACCAAGCCCTAAGATAAAAAGTATAATTAATGAAAGTATATTAGCTATGTTTTTATAAAAATGGTTTGTTTCCCAATGTACAATTGGTCTACAACATACAGAAACTCATAGTTATCAATTTGAGGTTTACATAAAATTTATGAGGAGATAATAGTCCAATTATTATTGAAATAAATAAAAAATAAAAATAAAACTTGCAATCGATTTATTAACAGAACAGGCAATGCCTACTTTTTTGTTTTTGATTCATCTTCATATACTTCAATTGTAAGTCGCTTATTGTGCACTTACGAAGAAGGTGGTGGCGGAGGAGGTCCTTGTAAATCAGTTATGTGTGTCATACTCCACATTCTTGACACCCTATGCTGCATCCAGATAGATGATTTTCTCACACCGCGTAACGGTCGAGTGACAATATAAGGGCACAAAACATATGCTTCTACAGAGTCCCACAATAAGGTATTAAGAAATCTTCCTACCCAATAGCACAAAAGTATAATTAAGAATAACACTCCCATCGTCAGGAATTTCCCAATTTTACTAAATTCAGAAAATCCTGGGTAGACCCACAAATCGGTTATAAGATATATCAAGAATAACCAACCTGCATAAGCCAGGTAAAAAAGTGTCAGTGCTACGAGCGCATATATGTTTCGTGGAAGTTTTCGTGAAAAGGTTATTGTTTCTAGAATTTGATATATGAATATATTCACAAAAACCAAGCATTCTATCCACCAAGGAAGATATCTGGTTTGGGCATATCCAAAATACTGGCCATCTCCGAGTGACCGCATGGTGACGTACATAACAGACAAAAATAGCCCACAAGGAAACATTATCGACACTTCAATAAAATCTTTTATTTGATACAGTGCAAATAGATGTTGTGGTGGTCCATCCTCTAAAAAGCATTTTTTGTAACTCATCAAAAGTCTTATGTCCAAGAGAAATGAGAACATGCAATAAAATATACGAATTATTACAAGAAATGTGCTGAAGTACTTGAACGTCCCCAAGAATCTGTCAAATACCGATGTCTGATTTACCCGAAACATAAAGTGGGTCACAAATCCTGCGGTAAAACTGATCATTCCTATTAAATGTACAGTCATGTGAAGACTGATCATCACACCTGGGGCTCTCCTTATCAATGGCAACTCCATGTTTCATTTAAATTCTAATGGCAAATGTACATTAACAGAAAACAAATAAAAATGTTTTTAAACATTTGTAACAGATGATAAATCCTAAAATTCAGATTTGAAAACAAATTTAAAATCAAAATACCCGACAGAGCAAATTGAGAGATTGTAGCTGAAACTAAAGCTTTAGAGTTCGATTGTCCCTGAATGCCATATCAAAGCCAAATCACTTCTCCCCGCATCCGCCCTTGTATGGGCTGTCAAAAGCATTGCCTTGAAGTGGTAACCAATAACAGCGGTGGCGGCAACGCATTTGTATTGAGTCGTGGTCACCACATGGCAATAAAAGAATAGCTACTAGGACAGCCAGGTGGTACAAGAGGCATATAATTGATAGTAAAGTCCAAAATCATTTGAGATTGCTTCACGGCCTTGTAGGACATTGGGGAAAACCAAAAATTAGCCTTGTTTAGATAGCAGGGCATTTAGGGCAGAGGGGTGATATATAAATTAACCGAGGAAAACAAAGGGCAGCTAATAATTTTTACAACATACCAAATTGCCAGAAACATAAATGCATCGTTGTTAAGAATAAGGCAGAATTTCATTCCAGGATTATCCTCATTTTGGTTAAAAAAGTCATATAATGCCCCCATAGGGCTTGAACGGTTCTGAACAGCCTTGACTATCTTACTGTGGGCATTATTCCAGAGTCTCTAACCTTAAAAAGCACTATATACGCATACCTACTTTCTACACCGCACTTTTTTGGTAAGTTTGTCCTTTCTTTTAAATAATGTTGTAAAATTAAAAATAAGGTTTGCAAGTTTGTCTTTACATAAAGCAATGTTTTTTTATGCTTTAGTAACTAGAAAAAATTACTTCATTGTTTCTCTTCTACATGATTTTTTTTTTAACACCTATTTTGTCTCCAGTTTTATTATAAACAAACTTTGACAAAGAACATAATGAGAAAAGCAGTATATATATGTGACTAATTGAATTTTACCTACGTTTTCACATATTGGAAGGAAGTCAGGATGACCCGGGTAAATATCTTTATAAAATTGATCAACTGTGTTTCAGTTTTTTGAAATTATAGTTTATATTTTTATTTTCCTACAATGTGCAATAATCATATTTTTTCTAGAATCACCAGTCAGGACCACTTGGTACTTCATGGGGTGTAGCGACAAGCCGGAGCATGCATTCGAACATAGTTTTTGGAATTACAAAAAAATAAATATTAAATTGAAATTAAAAAAAAAATTAAATCATTCAAGTAATAAAAACTAAGTTAATATTTATTACTTTTTATTGTAAACAGTTTTTCTTTTTAATTTAATTTAATTTATATTCTTTTTTAACTTTAAACAATTCAAATGAGAGAAAAATTGTAAATAATTTTATAAATTGTAAACTATTTTATTGTTGTAAATACACTGTTTTATGTATGGTGATTAGTGACCATTAATCAATATTTATTCAGATATCGTGAGATCCGGTCTGGTGTGATGTAGGTTTCAGAAAAAACATTTTCTTTATTCTTTATCATGCCAACGTTTCGATCTTTATTGAGATCATCTTCAGGGCCTGGGATTTACAAACATTGTTTATATATTACAATTACATTTTGGATGTGGAAAAGTGAATTTATACAATGCAAAATATATTTTTTTATATATTCAATCAAGGTATTTCTACTCACTCAAAGTGTTTGTCTTCTGTGTAATTGTGCCATTCTTGCGTGTCGTGTCGAGAGTGAGATTTTGCTATTTTGAGTTTATATACGTTGGATTTTGAAGGGGTGGGGAAGGATGTCGGTGTAGAAAAGACATTTGGCGTTGGCTTCTTTGAGGTGAAAAGAGCTGATGAAGGGAAAAAGTGTGTTCACAAGTTTTTCTGAAACCAACATCACACCAGACCGCATCTCACGATTTCTAAATAAACACTGTTTTATAATTTTCCTTGTTCCTATTTCAAATTCATTCTGTAAAAAGTGAAATGATGGATAGTAACATTCGTAAATATTTGAGAAAAAAATAAATTGTTCTGATCTAAGGAGTTTTTCTCTTTTTTTTTTTTTTTTTTTTTTTTTTTTTTTTTTTTTGTTTAGCATGGAGAAATATTTTTCCTAATTGTAATTGTTTCGTTTTCTTTTTATTATTATTTTTTATTTATTTATTTATTAAATTTTATTTATATTTGTCTTTAATTTTAAACAATTCGAATGAGTGAAAAAATGGTAAATAATTTTGTAAATTGTAAACTATTTTATTGTTGTAAAGGCTGTCATAATTTTTCTTGTTCCTGTTTTAAATCCATTTTGTAAAAAGTGAAAACATGGATTGCAACAAACATAAATATTTGAGAAAAAAAATAAATTGTTCTAATCTAAAAAAAGTTTTTTTCCCTCCTTTTTTGTTTAGCATGGAGCAATATTTTTCCTAATTGTAATAGTTTCGTTTTCTCTTTATTATTATTATTTTTTATTTATTAACTTTGAACAATTCAAATGAGTGAACAAATGGTAAATAATTTTGTGTATAAAAATAATTTCATAAATTGTAAACAATTTTATTGTTGTAAAAATTTTTTCTTTGCTGTTTTAAAATTTTTTCTTTGAAAAAACTAAATTGTTTGAAATTTTTGAAATTGTATTTTTCCAATTAAAACAACCTATAGGGAAGATTTTAAGAAGAATTAAGCTAACGAAGTCCTTAATTTTGGAAACAAACTCGAAAAACTGAAAAGACAATTTCTTTTTTTTTTTTTTTTGATGGCCTATTTCGAAGTCATACGCCCTCCTGGTGGACTCTAAGAAGAATCTAGCTATAAAGACCTTAATTTTCTAATTAAACTCGANAATAGCCTATTTTGAAGTCATATGCACTCCTGGGTGGATTCGAAGGAGAATCTAGCTAAAAAAGACCCTAATTTTCTAAACAAACTCGAAAAAACGATTTTTTTTAAAATGTCCTATTTCGAAGTCATACGCCCTCCTGGTGGATTCTAAAAAGAATCTAGCTAGTAAATACCTTAATTTTCGAAACAAACTTGAAAAAAAAACCTATTTTTTTTTTAAATTGGCCTATTTTGAAGTCATACGCCCTCTTAGATTTTCACATTTAGTTAAGCCTAACAGTATTAGACGGTAACTCATATTATTATACAACAGACTAAACTGAAGACCTCTCCCTCTCATTGAGCATAATAATAGGTTTTTTTTTTTTTTTTTTTTTCATGAAAACTCAAATTAAATATAAAACTTACAAAATATTGTGGTTTTCTTTCTCCGTTCTCACCCACCCTAAACATTACTGTTTATTATTTGAGTCACTAAGGTCTTTGAGTCACTTCATTTTCTCTTAAAGCATGTTCGAGTTATACATTTGTAGGAAATATCAAGTTCAAAATGTGGAGAAAAAATAAAAATGTACCAGGACTGTGAGTTTTCTTCAAATTATTGAGGTTTGACTGTATATGGAAAAACTGTATGAACTGTACTAAATGTATCAAGCCGTTTTAGATAAATCATACCACTTTGAAAGTAAGTATGTGAAATATCATGATAAAATAAAAATGTACCAGGACAATGAGTTTTCTTCAAATTATTGAGTATGTGGAAAAAATGTATAAATTGTACTAACCGTATCCAGTCGTTTTAGATAAATCGTACCACTCTGAGCACTGTCAGTATGTGAAATATCATCGATGTAGCTACCAATAAACTCCTTAATAAACGTTTGAAATTTTGCTTTGCATTTTGCAACGACGACATCTGTACCCCAAATTACTAGAGTTGGACAAAAAGCTGAATCACCAGAATCTGCATCAGGCTGAAATATTTTAACGAACATAAATATACAATGTGGGCAATATAATCAACACAGATAAAATCAATTTTACCTCTGAACTCAAATTGACTTGTCTGATGTGCTGGTCCTGGCCAACATCTCTGCGAGGTTTAGGAACAGTAGTACGAGTGACTGATGCTGGAGTTTTGTGAGAAGATAACAAACTGGGAGTACCGTAATTTAACGGTGAGCTCATATTCTCATCCCCCAATACTAAAGCACAAAAACAATGAAAAATAATATCACAAAGAATTGCTTTTGACTTACTCTCGAAATTTTGAAGTGCTTGTCCTGGAGTTAGGGGAATGGAGAAAGGATCAGACGGTTCGATTACAAAGTCCCCTTCATTTTGTGATGCTTGAGAAGGATGAGAAGGTGTGCTGCGCACACTCCTTCCCCCTCTGGCTTTTTTAGGAGTATTTCTTTTTGGAGGCATTCTAGAAAAAAACATTACAATCTTAGAACAAGCCTTTGAAACAGAAATTATACATCTGACTACTGATACTTGGTAATAAGTTCTATTTCAAAACTATCTGTGACTTTTTCTGGGTGCATGATTACAGGTGACATGTATTTGTGAGAATTAAAAACACAGAGAATAAATCAAGTAATATATTTAACAGCAATAAAGACATTGAGTATGATTTTGCAACATATTGGGATAAGTGTAGCATTTTTCAATAATTCATTTTTATCCCCTTTGTGGATTGAAAAGACGTTTATTCAGTCATTGTTTTCACATTCTGAACATGGACTAGTGATGTTTTTATTCGTTCGATATTTCGTATTTTTATAAGGTGTTTTGTTAATTTCAATTGGAGGAATAACAACGGGTCAGGCTAATAGGAAAATTTGTAACGTGTATGTGTGTGATGTTGCTTTAAGAGAAAGCGCTGTTCATAAGTGGTTTGTTAATTCAAATGCGGAAATTTAATTTGGAAGACACAACTCTGGTCATCCTTCAACTTTTGATGATGACCAAAAGCTTTTGTCATAAATGACTCACACTCAACGGCACAAGATATCACTGAGACCTTAATTTAATCCATATATGTTTAATGGTCATAATTGACCATATTAATATTTCAATTAATTATTCTTTTTATTAAGGTCTTGGTTGAGAAGAAAAAGTTAGTGGCATGACTTTTCGATCCAGTTTGTGCATTTTTTTCCTTTGATTTTTTATTTGATTTTTAATTTTTCGACATTCAATTAAAACAATTATCTTTTTACCACATTGTTTATGTAATTCGAATATATTTAAAATCAAATTGTTTTAAATTTAGTAACCAACCTGTGCTGTGGAATATTTTTTTCTAATATTTTATTACAATGCAATTTTGATCACAGTATGTAATTTGATGAATATAGATTTATAGCTATTTACATATTTTCATTGTGGGAAATAAATAATTAATGTTATTCTCCCAATTCATTTCACTAAATAAACATAACTGCCTACTCCTTAGAGAGGATGTCGCGATGCCATTCCCTTACGGGAATCCATTGAGACGCCTTACGGGATCGAAGAGATGGGTTCTGTGGTACAAGACTTGGGCGAGACTATCGCGGTGACAGGAGAGATTTGTGCAACATAGAAAATTTGTTTAAGGATTGTTTCAGATAAATGAGACATTAAGGTCATTGTGGGGCGTAGTATTGGAGATATAATACAGAGCATTTATAATTGATCTGAGTACTTTAGATTGAGAGGATGAGAGAATTTGGATGTTAGGTTTAGCAGTTCCCCACAATTATATTCCAAAAGTCCAAATCGACTATGGCAACATTTTGTAAATTTTAAATTTGTTTTTTGTCGATAGCTTGGAATATCATTCTATAAATTTGTAGAATAAACCGTAGCCTCTGTTTAGGTCTTGTCGTTTAAGTCCTGCTGATTCCACATTAAGCAGTCCAGGTGGAACCCAAGTAACGAACGCAGTCAGATTTGTGGATAAGAACGTTGCTAGTATATTGTGTTTTTTTTTTTTTTAATTGTATATGTGACATAGATGCACTTGCTTTAATTTATCGTCATGTTCCATCGTCTACACCAATGTGCTATACATATATGTCTCTGCAGATCTTCTGAAGCAATCGCTCAGGGATTGAAGATAGTACAGCTATACCATCAGCAAAAGATCAAGAAGGGTGGTCGGTTTAGTGGGTCTGCAATATAGAGGATTGGTCCGAGCTCATTGTCCTGTGGTATTCCTGTGCCAAGAGAGCAGTATTCAAAGTAATCCTAATCCTTTTCGGACTCAAAACACCGCTCTGTTAGATAAGAGAAAGACAGTGGGAAAGAAATGCTTTAATTTGTACAGCAGATGGATTTGAGGAGTATTGTTGTATGTTGAGTGAGTATATTGTGAGATTTACTTTGGATCGAAAATGTGACATGGATGCACTCCCTTTCATTTATCTTCGTTTTCCATTGACTACACAAATCTGCCATAGATTTGATATGTATCTGCGCATCTTCCAAACACAGGATCAGGTTTAGAGCTGTATCATCGGCAAAAGATGCTATGGTGGTACGTTTAATGGGAACATATGCAGTATTAAGGATAAAGGATTGATCCGAGCACCAGCGGTACTCCCATGGCTAGAGAGTAGAATTCGGCTTAATCTGATCCTTGTCATACTTGAAAGAACCACTCTGTTAGATAAAAGAAAGGTAGTGGGAAAGATACGCTTTAATATGTACAGCAGACGGATTTGAGGATAGGAACGTTGTGTATTGAGTGAGTATATTGTGAGAGATTTGCTTCAGAGAGAAAATGTGTCATGGATGCACTCCCTTTCATTTATCTTCATTTTCCATCGTCTACACAAATCTGCCATAGGTGTGATGTCTCTGTGGATCTTCCGAACAGCAGAATCAGGTTTAGAGCTGTATCATCGGCAAAAGATGCTATGGTACTACATTTAGTGGGAACATCTGCAGTATAAAGGATATAGGACTAATTCGAGCACCAGCGGTACTCCGGCACGGCCAGAGAGCAGTATTCGGCGCAATCTGATCCTTGCTGGACTCGAAAGGACCGCTCTGTCAGATAAGAGCGGAGGATTAAGTAAAGACTATTACACCCTCGTGTGTAATAATTAAAAAAGCAAAATTCCTTAGTTTTTTTTTAACCACTGTACAGATAGCAACAGGTAGTGGAACAAAATGGTTCAAACATTGATTACATTTGTTTACAAAGGACTGAATTTGATACATTCATGTAATTTACCATTAAAAAAAAACTCTACGGACTTATTTTACAGCCAGTCAGTTTCACGGTATCATAGCGAACATATATTAAATAAAAGTAACAAAATTGGACAGTAAATTTGAAGCTTAAAATTGACTTAAATCTTACTTTTAAAAAACTTCGCTAATCAGAAAATATTGTAATTTTATACTAAAAACAGCAAATAGGCTCTTCTTTTAATATAAAATTATAAAGATCAGTGCTGATCGGTAATTATCTCGTAGTATTGTACAAATATTAAACTCAACCTGGATAAGCTGCGGCAATCGGGATCAGAAGATAATCCAGGCAGAACTTAAAAAAACCGACGAGTGATGAAACTGGTAACTTTAAAAAACTTTAATCACTTAAAAGTTAAATACGACTGAGAACAACACAGAGACAGACGAGTGCCGAGTGACAAAGTGCCAAGGCTAAAAGTAAAGGCGCCAAGGCGGGAAAACGTTGTTCTAGGTTAACAAGGAAAAGACAGAGAAGAACAATTAAACATATAAAACAAATATTAATATAAATGTAGACGTTTAAAAAAAAATATCCTCAATTTTTTTCATATAAGAACATAATGGTTCATAATTCAGATAAAAGGACTATTGTGTTGATTGGTTTTACAAATAAGCGTAAATTTTTATTATTGCTTATAAAATTTAATAGTTTTTAAATGTTATTATTTTTTCTAATTAATTTTACAGCAAAATATTTTTAACTTTAAATTATATTATAATTTCTTTATCAAAAATATAGAGATAAGGAGAACGACACTAGCGCTTCCTTCATTGACGTAAATTAAGTACAAATCACATGACCCTTTTTTTTTAAAATTAATTTATTTATTTTAAAGGTACAAATAGGGCTCTGAACCTCATTTGAATATTAGACATTGAACAGTGAACACCAACATCGTGTTTCGGAGAGCGGTAAGTAGAATCGTTTACTCAAAACCATTTCAAATTACATTTTCATCATTATTATTTATTTTTTATTAAGTTTCGTGGTCCGCTTGACCAAATAGATTCTTTTCGATTAATTAAGATTTTGGGTGAGATAAAAAAGTCAGGTCACAAGCGGGATTCGAACCCACGACCTGCGGCTAAATAATCCGCTGCTCTACCACTTAAAAATTCGAAAGATTGTAGGTTGAGATGGGGAGTTGTCTGAGAGGATCGAAGTCACGATAGCTCAAGTGGTAAGACCAGACACTTTTTCGACTCAACCAAGACCTTAGATAAAAGAATAATTCATTTGAATAATTAATATGGTCAATTAAAACAGCTAAATATATACGGATTATTATTTATTTCTGGTTAAATTTGTAAAGAAATTATTTTACTTTTTCTGGCGTAATAATTAATCTGATATCATCGCCAAGATGGCGGAAAATGGAGGCATTTCTCCTGATAAAACGTTAATATATTTGAAAATGACTAGTTTAAAAGATCTCAGAAATGAGTCAGTTAAAAATTAAATTAATTATTGACTATAACATGGAACTTTATCGTCTCAACGATCTCGCTCATTTTTAGGTTTTCATAGAAAGTTTAAAAAACACAAAGCAGGGGTTCAAGGTTAACCACAAGAACATAAAGATATACAAATATATCCTTCATAACAATCACTACCCTAAACACATGGTATGGTATGGTCAAAAATGATACTATAAAGCAGGGTTTGCACTCCCCTGGCACTGTTGTCTTCTGGCTTATTGTACCTTCCTAGTTCCTTAGTTCAGTGCAATAGACTCAATCCTTCTTCTTAGAAATATCAGGTCATTGACTGTCGCTGCTGTCATTTGATTCCCCATGTTTTTTTCCGTACATTAGGTTAAATCTCTATTGTGCTGTTGCTTCGCATTCGAAGATGATATGAGTGGCTGTTTCCTCTTTCTCATTACATAATCTGCAAATGGGATCATCGCTGTATATACCCATGTTGTGTAGATGTTTTCTCATATGCCAGTGACCGGTTAATCCTACCACTCCTTTGAGTTTGGCCCTCTCCAATTGCAGCAGTGCTTTTGCCAGTCTCGATGAGGGTTGTTTCATCATAAGTTTACTATGTCTAGAACCGCTAGAGTTTATCCACTTCTCCTTTTGTTTTGCTTGGATCCATTCTGCGATGGAGGATTCTATATTTGTTTTTGTTATCGCAAGAATAGGTTCGGGGCCTAGGTATGGTCTTGCAGATCCTCCTCTGGCCAGTCTGTCTGCTTTCTCGTTACCCAAAATTCCCCTGTGCCCTGGCACCCAAGATATCATCAGGCTGTTGTTTCCCCAGGTTTTGGAGATTTTGGAAATGTTGATGTGATTCTTTTACATGCTAATGCTTTAATGGCTGCTTGGCTATATGATCTTATGAGGATTTTTTGTCAGTGTAACCTCTTTTAAGATTTTCCAGGGCACAAGCATTGATGGCATGTATTTCTGCTTTAAAGACCGAAGTGTACTTCCCTAATAAGTTTGATTGCTCATGATTTGGGCTTGTAATCCTAAACACATAATCAACAGAATAATCGACAGCTACAACCAACTAACACCTTCCATTATCACTAATAAGAGTACATCAATTCTATCAAACACAGTCAACCCAACAGACATATCCATTCCATTCGTTCACGGCCTATAGCACAAATTAAATAAATTCTTTTTTTCTGATAACTTTAAAATAGCGTTCAAAAACTATAAAACTATTCACACACTTTTTTCAAAAATTAAAGATCCAACACTTCTAACAAATAAGTCTGATGTGATTTACAAAATCAATTGTGTAAATTGCCCAGCAACATACATCGGTATTACATTCCAATATCTGGATAAGAGAGTAAAACAACATATGTATGATTGCAACAAACCTAAACAAAATCCTTCAGCACTGACTATCAATAATTTTCAATACCAACACAATTTCGTTTGCAACAATCCAAAAATATTAAATACAGATCAAACAAACATAAACGTGCCTTTTTAGAAATGGTTTAAATCAACAGAGTTAAACCCAGCATCAATTACGCAACAATCACATGTAAACTCAGCCGCAGCCGCAGCTACGCTAATATCATAAATCAAATTCTATATCAATAGCAGACAAAATACATAATACAACATGTAAAACAATCATTACACTCCACACATCAAACAATTTCTCCCTAGTCCAAATCATCAAAAATTTATCCTTCTTTTTCCCTAATAATCCCGTCTATAATAATCCTGAAAAGATAACTAAGCCCGAACGTAAAACCATTCCCCCTTTTTCCCCATTGTCAGCCCCTTTCACCTCAAAGAAGCCTGACTGATAGAAAAATGAATTTTTAACCCTACTTCCTTCCCCAATTTAAAATCAAACATGTGTAAACAAAAACCATTTATATCTCACAATACTCTCTACACGTCACACAACCGTGATACATCTACACGCAAAACCACGATAAATCTAAAATTTCTATATGGCGTACGTCATTGTATAAATTCATTTTTAAATCTTGAATAATTTGTAAGAAAGAAAAAAAAGGAAAAAAAATCAAAAAACCACCAGCTTTGGAAATGCATATTTTCTCAGTCTTTTAAGTCATAGACCAGCACCGCTGGGTCTCATTTTTAGACAATTTTACACTGAACAAGACATTTTTTACATGTTTTCTTAGCTTAAGTCATTCATCAGTAAATTAAAAAAATATTTTTGCACTTTTTACAAAAACTTCAAAGTGAGATTTGGAGCCTAGAAATCGTTCAGGAGGGGCGCCCTATATCAGTCGAAAGGAAAAGTTAATAAGCTTTCAGTTGGTCACCTTCCACTTCGCCCGATTTCTCAACGGTTTTCCAGTTATTCCTGAATTTTTGGGAAAAACGTGTTTTTTTAGTGCTCATGCAAGCAACCGACCACTCTCTATTCCGATTTTCGAGAATGCATACATTTTGAACCTTCATGTTTTATCCAATTTAACGCTCTACAACTTTAGTTCCGAGGACTTTTTGAAAAAAGGGTACAGGGAAGCAACAATTCTTACTTTGAGCCTTTGGGATGCGGAATGCATATGATGTCAATTCAACCTCATCATGGAAAATCAACTTTTCCTTCTTCTCATTTCACAGGTTTTGTGGCATTTTGGCCTAGAATAACGTATAGAAACAGTAGGTTTATAGAAATGAAAAATGGTGGAGTGTATGTTTTTCAATCTTTATAAAAAGATAGTTCCTACTCACAGTTATTTTCAACAATCCGGATTTCAAGCTTATAGCTCATCATCAGGTTGAAGGAATTTATAACCAGGTCTCTTTTGTAATCTTGATAAAAATTAGTTATAATATTCATGTCGAGAGACTTGGTTGTTGTGATGATGATGAGTTATAACCTTTAAATCCGGATCGTTGAAAATAATTAACTGTAAGATCAATCTTTTTATAAAGGACCATCTTGTTACAAAAAGCATACCTTTTCAAGCGTCTTCCGTCGCGCATAACTCATAAATGGTCGATCCTATCAAAATTTTCCTTTCTGTAAACGTGGCATAAAATAAGCTCTACAATCGAAATGTACAATAAAAAAAATGGGATTCACATTTAAAATAACAAAGTTAGTGTCATTTCCCAGTTAAATGAGAAAGTTATGTTAAATCTGTTATCACCACGCGATTCCTAGCCACAATTAAATTGTGGTTAGTACAAGACCATTTTTTGCTAATGCTAATCGTTTTGGAAATAAACAGGGAGGGGCATTTTGTTGTTCCAAAAAGCAGACCCGCTCACGCGTCTACTGCCGGGCATAATTCAAAAATGGCCTATCCTATTAAAATATTCCTGGCAGTAAAAGTATCATAAAAGAAGCACTTTAATCGAATTGTACAATAAAAATAATTAACTTAAACCAAAATTAACTTGGGGTTAAAACCATTTTTTGGTAAAGTTGATGGCGGAATAGCAAGTCCCCATCGACCCAAAATTAGACTAGGTATTTTTTTCCTCCGACCGATCACCCGCCAACTCGATGTTCTAACGAGAAACTGGTTTTTAATGCCGCTTAATTTTGAACGTGCGAAAAGCGAGGATTATAAGAACTAAATATTACATTAATAAATACTGTAGAAAATAATTCTAAATTAGTGATTAATTTGTAAGTTTATATTTAATCATTAATAGCAAATAAAATTAAGATTATACATTAACAATATTAATGAATAAAGCATAAATCAAAAAATGATAAAATTAAATAATAAAAATTAAATTAATTTGTACGTCTAATATTATTCAGATACATATTTAAAATAGGAGGGTAAATCAAAATCTATTATATTAATGCATTTATCTCCATGCTCAATTTTACATTTTCTAATTTCAAATTTCTCTAGCCAATCTAGTTCCCACCCTTTGTTCAAACTGAGTAACACTGTCGTATTTAAATTTAAATTTAAATTGTGTTTTGTTTCATTTATATGGTACTGAAATTCTGAAAATTAGTTCGATTTAGGCAAGCGTTCTTTAACTCTCGTTTTTATTTCCATAACTATATTTAATGGCGCAATAATTACAATTAAGTTGGTAAACACCGTTTTTTGCCAGGTTGTCTACATTGTCTTTAGGTTTTGAGAGGATTTCTCTAGGTGAACATGTACCTCTAAAAGCTACTCTAAAACCTTCCTGCTTAAGAATTTTACCTATTTTTTCAATGTATGGCAATCAACTAAAACCTAATGATTCATTTTTGGTAGGGTGGCTGAGTCCAACTGTTGCTTCTTTTAAAGTTAATTTTTTTATTATTTTAACTAGCAACCTATCAACAAATATTGTTGTTATCCATCGTTTTTAGCTAAGGTTTTAATAGTTCGTAATTCTTGTTTATAGCTAGTAGGTTTTAAAGGGAGTTTTAATATATGGTCTATAAGCCAGCAGCTTTTTAGGTCCATGGGTGAGAAGAATCCGCTGGTACCATGGTGTCTGTGTAGTTGTGGGTTTTCTATGTACGTCTATTAGGTTGTTTAATACGGACAGTTTTAAGTCTAAAAAGTTTCTAATTTCTAATTAATTTCTAATGTAAAATTTATACGGTGTAAAGAATTAATTAGTTGAGGAATTCTTTTAGATCCTCTAGTGTTCCCTACCATACGCCTAAAATATCGTCTATATAGCGTTTCCAAACAAGAACAGATTTAATTAATTTGTTGTTTGGTTGGAAAGAATTTTTTTGAAATTATCCATGAATATTTCGGCACAAAGTGGGGATAATGGAGACCCCATTGGTAACCCTTTCATTTCATAAAATGTATTATTGAATTTACAATAATTACATAGTAGTCATATATTTAAGAGGTCTATTGTATCATTTGTTACAAATTCGTTAATAGAATTCACTGTAAATTCTTGTTTTATAAGTTCTGTACATTCTTTAACAGGGATATTTTTGAATAAATTTGTAACATCGAATGACACCAAAACGCATTGTTAGGTATATTTACGTATGTTCTTTAATTGTTTTATCAATTCTAAAGAATTGGTAATACCGAATGTACGTTTGAAATTGGCATGAGTTTTAATTATATTATCAATTGTAATCGCGAGATTTTGGCATTATAAAAGAATAAAGAAAATTGAGACCATAAAAGGTTCATAAAAGGACCCTACTGGTCTTTCAGGTTTGTTTTCTTTGTGAATTTTGACCGTACTGTATTTAACATTAGGGGTCTCGGGTTCATAGGTATAGTTTTATAGTTTGTTGGGTATTTAATTTTTTGCCGTTTAGATTTGTCAATTTTTGTGAAATTATTCCAGCGTATTTATATTTTGTATTTTTATTTATTTTACTACAATCAACTGATGAACCAAAGGATAGTAGTATTGGGTTGTCCGGAAAATAATGCAGGATTTTGGTATTAAATAAAAAAAAAGAAACTAGTTACTTTAAAGCAATGTTCTTTAATCAAAATAATTTCCCATACTCTCAATACATTTCTCCCAACGTGTTGGTAACTTATTAATTCCGTGTGAGTAGAATTCAGAATTTTTAGAATTGATAAAGTCAATAAATGCATTTTCCAGTTCCGTTTGATTTTTGAATATTATGTGTTGTAAGTAGTGGTCCAGGTGTCTAAAAAAATGGTAGTCAGTAGGCGAGAGGTCCGGAGAGTAGGGTGGGTGAGGCAAAGTTTCATAGCCAAGCTCCAATAATTTTTGTGACGTTACACGTGACACATGTGGTCGAGCGTTGTCATGCAACAAAATGGGCCCTTTCCGATTGACCAAAGAGGGCTTCATTACTGCCAATTTCTGATGCATGGTATTAATTTGGTTACAGTATGATTCAGCATTGATGGTTTCGCCAGGATTTAAGAAGCTGTAGTGTATTAAACCAAATGAAGCCCACCATACCGTAACCATTACCTTTTTTTGATGAGTTGGGGGCTTTGGAGCTTCTCCTTTGTCGAGCCACTGTCCAGAACGTCTAGTGTTATCGTAGAGAATCCACTTTTCGTCACATGTAACAATTCTGGCCAGAAATGGGTCATTTTTGTTTCGACAAAGAAGTGATGCACAAACATCAAAGCGCTGATTTTTTGGCGATCGTTTAATGAGTGTGGAACCCAATTTTCGAGTTTTTTCACTTTTCCAATCGCCTTGAGGTGGTCAGCGACGGTCGTTTTACTGACTTTGAGTTGCTCTGCAAGTTCTCGAACAGTTGTTTTGGGGTTTTCTTCCACCACTGATCGCAGAACATCATCATTAAGAGAGGAAGGCCTTCCACGACCTTCTTCATCTTCAAGGCTGAAATCTCCCTCCCGAAATTTTTTAAACCACCTTTGCACAGTGCACTCATTAACACAACCCTCGCCCCAGACTTGGTTAATGTTTCTAGCCGTTTGGGCTCCGCTTCGGCCGAGTTTAAACTCGTAAAAGAAAATCGTACGAAATTCTCGCTTTGACATTATAAGGATGACTGAATTATTTCCAAGTAGCGGAATGCTACAGAGGTAAACAAACAATATCATTTGGAAGAGGATTAATAAGTGTTGACATTCATACAAATGAGTAATCCTGTAAACGTAAACAGAATATTTTATATAGATTTTTTTTAATGAAAACTTAAAATCCTGCATTATTTTCCGGACAACCCAATATTTTGTGTCTAATTCGGTTTTTGGAACAAATTTTAGGCCTTTATTTAATTAATTTTTTTTTCTTCTTTATTTAGGACTATGTTTGTTAAGGTAAACCCTTGGGTAAAATTTAATTGGAGTTGTTTGATCTTTATGAGTATTTTATGTATATCGTACATGTTTTTAATTTTTTTAATCCATGATCCTTTATTTTTCATCAAAGATAAATTTAACTTTTGACCGTGTATCATAATCGAATTTATTCCATTCTACTGGAGACAATAATGAGGGAAGCCTAATGTGAACAAGTCTTTGGTAAAAACGTCTCTCTTTGACTATATAGTTGTAATTCATTATTTTCAATAATATTGGTTTTATGGCATTTACCCTGCGTAAGTGAGTTGAAAAGTTTTGTATACTTAATTTAGCAAGAACTAATTCTAGGGTTAGTTTTTATAATAAATTGGGTAGGGCTTAATTTATAAAAAAGTTTTAAAAGTTCTCTTTTTCTGGCTGATTTTAAGTAAGTGGAGGTAGTGTTGTTAATTCTCTTTTTCAGTTTCATTTTAACAAAAATTTATGATCTAGTTTATTTTAAAAATACTTGGTTGGAAGTTTTTATTTGTTAATAAACTTTGTTAGCTTTTACTATATTTTTATTGCAATTTACGTCAAAAATGCTGTAAAAGGATATATTCACATAGCTGATTTAAGTGAGTAGAATGGCAAAGTAAAAAGTATTAAAAAATGGAAAATTTCATCTTCAAAACATTTTTTTTGGCAAAACCAGGACCTACAAGAATTAGCGGATACGTTTCCGATATTTTGGAGTGTAGAATCACCAAAATGTTAGGTCCAAATCCGTGACCCGCCAACCTGGTCGTCCCCTTGTTAGATTTAATTCTGCCGTTAGCTTCTGCGATGGTCTTTTGATGAACTTTTTCACTGAGCTCCATTGAACCCGAGGTCTTACATTTTATCCTTAATGGATCCATGCTTTTGACAGTTTGGTATGCCACAAAAGGGTTTAGGGCCTAATCAAACTTTCCTCAGTCAATTTATCGCCAACGTCTGACAGCGCCTTGATGCAATCCCAAATGACTCTAAACTTTAGTAGTAGTTACTCAAAAGTAGAGATTTTTATGACTTAATTGTCATGTGTCAATGACGGCTGATTTTGCAAAATTAGATTATGTTTTTATCACTGCTTACGATGATGAATAATTTAAAGTCTAATCTATCGATCAGTTTTTTACTCACTGTAAGTCTCGATGAAAAAAACAAATTCAATTGTTATCCGCCAAACGTTAGAATTATTTTAATTTCATCATCAGTGCAAAACAATCTTAAAGTGGTCTACAAATTGACGTAATTAATTTTTTATTAGATGGTTTCAAATTTCTTTGAAGACCGACTCAATCTTAACATTGCTAAGTACTCTAACACACCAGTAGGAAGCATACTTAAAAACAGATTATTCGTATTCTCACACTGTTTTATGCTGCTTTATGCCAAGAAATGTTACCGATGAAGAACAATAAAATGTAATTAAAATATTGAGGAAACAGGTGAAAAATCTCTAGTCGGTGTTTTGTTTTTTATGTAACATGTATATTTAAAAATACTTTCACAGTACTTAATGTTTTATTTAAGAACATTTTGACAAAAATAACATTACAAAAATACATTAATTTCACTTATATAACATTTAAAGCAACATAGTTTTACATTTTAATGACACACTTTATTACACAATTTGAAAAAAAAATTACAATAAACAACAAAACAAAATTAATAATTTAATACAAAATATCAAATAATTAAATTAAATTTTTACAAATTGTAATTTTAAATAAATTTGAATAAGTAACATTTTCACCATTTCTGAAAATAATAAAACATTTCAAGCAGTTTGCAATGAGATGTTAGTATGAAGTTTGCGAACAAATGAGAAAGAAACAAATGGCCCATATAGAAAATAAAACATTATTCTAGCTTTAACTACTTATTTACATAGTGTTACTTCAAATCAAAACAGGTCAGTTGAGTGCTTTAAAAGTAGACAAAAATAAATCTATAAATACGAAAAATTTCCTTGAAATCATGCTAATCACAGTTTTTACAAACAAAAAGTTCACTTTTGTTTAATAATAACCCGTCACCAATTACACACTACTCTAGTAATAAAATAAAATAAATTGTTATACAGTGCGATTCTACGCAGAAAAGAAATAAAAAATTGAAATTAATGAGTTTATAACATAATTTTTTGAAAAATAAAGAAAGGAAAGAAGAAATATAGTAACATGCAACATTCATGCCTTTAAAGGTATAATAAAGATATAATAAAGTTTTTCTTGTTAGATGTTTAAGTACAACACAGTTTTCTTTATTCGGTAACGTGCAGATAAGAATCAACAGAAGAAATAAGCTCAATGTGGAAACAGAATAGGATGACTAGATCCACGGAAGAATGGATTTGTCTTGAGAAATACCTCCAACTAAAGGGACGTTAACTGAAAATACAATATAGGGGATAATTGTCATTTGTTTAGTACATAATAAAAAAGATTAACAAGCGCTTTAGAGGAAATGTGTACTTATGAAAGCACCTCAAAATCATACTTCTCTCTTAAGATAATAGTAAAAAAAACAATTAAAATTTGTACTATCGTTTAATATGGCATTTTGTAATCGCCTTGCTTTCTGAATAATCGAAATTTTTTAAATGATTTGTTTAAATGTCCCTGAAGATCGTCAGATGTTTGCCAAAAGTAAAAAAAAAAAAAAAAAAAAAAAATGACCGTAGCATGTTAAACCTTTACTCGTTTTAGAGAAATAATAATTTTTAAATGTATTTGTGTTTTTGGAAAACTAAAAAAGGCAATAATCTTCATAAAACATTGAAATCGACCAGTTTAATTATGCAATGAAGTCGGAGTGCATTTCATACTACCAATTGTTAGTATTTATTTAGAAGAAAAGAAGACCAAGATCTAAACAAAACAACACAAGTCAAATGAAACCAGTTTAAAGCACAGAAATAGTGCGCACAGACAATTGAAAGAAGAAGTTAGAAAATAAATTTCCTTGCAAAAAAAGTACAGAATAAAAAATAAAATAAATTACAATACCAACTATTTGAAGAGTAAAAAAATACATATAATGTTATATGTATGTATATTACTAATATATGTAGTAAATACATAACAGTATAATTGACAATTATAAAATACAATTATATAATCCTGTCAAAAACACTATTAATCACAAGTATTCATAAATAGCTATATTTCAAAATGATAAAACTGTTAAAACTTAATTCATTTTGAACTTAGAATTGGTGGGAAGAAAATGTAACGGGTTTTTTTTTGGAAATGGACGGAATCAGATGTTTGATTGAGAAAGGAGTCGCGGAGCCTACAAAATATACACAACACAATAAAAGCAAGTAGATAACTACACTTACATGCATTGGAAATTAAGTTGAGACAAATATAGAAGACAGTAGGCATCATAATGCATGCAATGGTTACTGAAAAGGAAATGTTTTAGTAAAAAGTCGAAAGAAAAGGCTAGCTATTGAGATGAAATAGGAATGAGAAACAGTTAAAGACTATCATTGCTAGTTGTAACAAGTGTAAAAAACAATCCCAACTTTAAATTAAGTTAGATGCACAGAAATAAAATTAATTGGGTGAGCGATACATATAACAACTATTTACAAATTACTAGAGGTGGTAAAGAAAATGTTTTTAGCTTGAAACACCAAAACACAACCAATATACGAGAGGAAGTGGTACAGAGAAGAAGATTAATTGGCAGGGACTTAAGAAACAAAAATAACCGTACATATGTGAGTTGAAATGATTTGAAAGAATAATTAACACGAGTTGTAAAGTAACACTAAAATAAAAAAATGTTTGGTGAAGAAGAGCGATTTGAACAAACTAAAATTATAAAAGGTATCATGCAACAAAGCAGTACACAAGAAATTTTAGAGAGTAAGAGTGGAAGAAATAAAGATAAAAGTGTGAATGGAAAAAATGAAAGAAAAGGTATTCTACAGATCAAAGAAAGCGATAAAATTAGACGAATAAATGCAACTATTAAAAAAATCAACAAATGGTAAAATGATCAATATCAGTAGATGACTGAAAAATAAGAAAAAATATATACGGGGAGAGAGAGAGAGAGAGAGAGAGAGAGAGAGAGAGAGAGAGAGAGAGAGAGAGAAACAGAGAGAAAGTACAAGTGTGGATAGGTTGTGATAGATATACAAAGATGGTTAGACATGTAGATAACTTGAGATAGATAGAGAAAACATTCAGAATCAGCTTAAACTCTGATGAAGAGGGAAATATTAAGATATCTTAGGAGAGAAAAGAGATAGATAGGTAGGTAGATTGTGATTAAGAAAGATAAATAAATTATTAGATAAATATAGTGCAAAACGCCTGCATAAACTGGTGAGAAGAGGGGGGATTTTGCGATACTAAGAAAAAAGAGAGAAAAAAGCGATACTGAAAGAGGGAGAGAAAAAATAGATATGTAGATTGACAGGTAGATAGATAGATAGGCAGATATANAGAGAGAGAGAGAGAGAGAGAGAGAGAGAGAGAGAGAGAGAGAGAGAGAGAAAGGGAGACGATCAAAGTCAGATAAATTGTGATAGAGAGAGGCAGATAGAGAGAAAAGGAAGATAGATACATAAATATAATAGAATTGTGATAGAGAGAGTAATAGCTAGAATATATGGATAGAAAGGTGGATACGAGATACAGAGACAGAGAGTGGGAGGGAAAAAGTATGTATACGAATAAATGGATGAATAGATAGATCAAAAGATAGATAGAGAAACAGGACGCCGAATAGATAGAGTGAACATTCAGGATCAATTTGAACTCTAAGAAGACGGAGATATGGAGACAGCTTAAGAGCATGAAACAGATAAAATTGTATGTAGATTGATCACTAGATAGATTGTGATAGGGATAGGTAGATTGATAGATAGATAAGAAGTTAGAAAAACAGATAGAATAGATGGGAAGTGAGAGACCGGAAAGAAACATTTATAGAAAGACGAATGAATGGATGAATGAATTTATAGTTGAATAGTGGTATAGATTCTGTCATACGAAGTATAAGAAGAGAGAAAGAATGATCAGATACATAGTTTGAGTGAGTGATATTGTCATAACAAAAGAAGAAAAAAGAGAGAGAGAGAGAGAGAAGAAATGTAGATATATTGTGTTACATATATAAAGATAACAGAGATAAATAGATATATACAGATAGAGGGAACATTTAGAATCAGTTTTAACTTTGAAAAAGCGAGAAATATTAAGATATCTTAAGGCGAAAAAGAGATAGACCCATGTAGATTGATAAGTAGATAGATTGTGATGGAGATATAAAATAAATAGACAGATAAATGCAGAGAAAACGTTCTGATTCTGCAAAAACTGGAGAGAAGATTATATTTTGCGATATTATAAGAAAATAGAGTAAAAATGAATACAGAAAGAAGAAGAAAAAAGGTAGCTCAAGGCGAATTAGAGAGGCACATATAGAAATATGTAGTTTGATACGTAGATAGATAGATAGATAGATAGAGATAGATAGATAGATAGAGAGAGAGAGGGAAACAGAGCAAGAGAGAAAGAGAGAGAGAAAGAGAGCGAGAGAAAGAGAGAAAGAAAAAGAGAGAGAGAGATACATAGATAAACATTTAGATAGATAGATAGATAGATAGATAGAGAGAAAGAGAGAGGAAAGAAAGAGAGAGAGAGACAGAAAGAGAGAGAGATACCTAGATAAACGTATAGATAGATAGACATATAGATAGATAGATAGGGAGAGAGAGAGGGAGGAGAGAGAGAGAAATGGAGCGAGAGAGAGAAATGTAAAGAGTAAGAGAAATATATATAGAGAGAGAAAGAGAAAGATAGGTAGTAATTATTGTAACAGAGATAGAGAAATATAAAGATATTGAAACATAGATAGATTTAAAGAAAGACATAGTAAAAGAGAGGAGAGACTGATCAGAGTCAGCAGCTGGTACGATTGAAGAGATCGGAGAGCGAACAGAAGTATCGGAGAATTGAAAGTTCATATAGAATAAAGTAAAGAAATAAGAGAAAGAACGAATCAAAAATGAAGAAAAAATAAAAAGATTCTATATAAAATGGAGAGAAGAAGAGATTCTCTGACATAAGAAGACGAATGGGAAGATCGATTGATTGATAGATGACAAGTTGATAGATAGATAGATAGATAGATAGAGAGAGAGAGAGAGAGAGCGCGAGAGAGAAAGAGAGCGAAAGAGAGAGAGAAAGAAAAAGAGAGAGATACACAGATAAACATTTAGATAGATAGATAGAGAGAGAGATAAAGAGAGAGGAAAGAAAGAGAGCGAGACTGAGAGAAAGAGAGATACATAGATAAACATATAGATAGATAGACATATAGATAGATAGACAGATAGAGAGAGAGAGAGAGAGAGAGAGAGAGAGAGAGAGAGAGAGAGAGAGAGAGAGCGACAGAGAGAGAGAGAGCGAGAGAGAGAGAGATACGTAGATAAACATATAGATAGATAGATAGATAGATAGATAGATAGAGAGAGAGAGAGAGAATGAGTGAGAGAGAGAAAGAGTGAGAGAGAGAAAGAGTGAGAGAGAGATACATAGATTAACATATAGATAGATAGATAGATAGATAGATAGATAAAGAGAGAGAGAGAGAGAGAAAGAGAGAGAGAGAGAGAAAATAGAAAGATGTTGTTAGAAAGAGAGGGGAAAGAATGATTGAGATTGAAATAAAGATAGATAGTAAATAAAGATAGACATTAAAAGAAAGAGAGAGAATCGGAGAGAAAGAGAAAGATCGATAGATAGTGTGAGGAAAGAGAGGAGATAAAGAAAAAGAGAAAGAGAAGTAAAGATAGATAAAAAGTGTGATAAAAAGGTAAGAAAGAGACAGATGGATTTATTGATAGCGTTTTATTTAGGGAGGATTGTAAAAAATGTATAGAACAGAAAAGACAGTTTCCGACTTAAGAAGAATAGTGGGATAGCGATAGATTAATTGATATAATCTGTATAAAAGGGGGGAGAAAAATGAAACTAAAAGAGGAAGAGAAAGAGAGAGTGCAAAAGATACAGAAAGATAAATATATCGACAGAACGATAAATAGATTGGAATGTAGAGAGAAAGAGAAATATATAGAGAGAGAAAGAGATAGATAGGCAGTAATTATTGTAACAGAGATAGAGAAATATAAAGATATTGAAACATAGATAGATTTAAAGAAAGACATAGTAAAAGAGAGGAGAGACTGATCAGAGTCAGCAGCTGGTACGATTGAAGAGATCGGAGAGCGAACAGAAGTATCGGAGAATTGAAAGTTCATATAGAATAAAGTAAAGAAATAAGAGAAAGAACGAATCAAAAATGAAGAAAAAATAAAAAGATTCTATATAAAATGGAGAGAAGAAGAGATTCTCTGACATAGTAA